TCTAAACGGCCGCTGCCTTCGGTCTCCCACCCACAGGCGAACGGCATCGGGGTGAAGAGATTTTCATGGAAATAAGTTACGCTCAGGTGAATGGCAAGCGTGATGCAATCACAGCACACCTGCTGCACGGGCATTACCTGCTGGGGTGGTTTTGCCACGGCACAGCTTTTAAGGAAAAAAGTTAAAAAATGGAAAGAAATGGAAAGTGGCATCATTGGTGGATTTGGGGATTAACGGCATCTGGAAGTGATGCTGACAGTGAAGAGCATCCCAAGCAAAGGGGGTTGTGTGCGATGCAGCAAGAAAAGGAGAGATGCAACGAGCAAGAAGCTGAAAGAAAAGGACAAAGCGGTCAAAGCAGCAAGGCAGGACACGAATTTTTGGAGAAGCGCAGTGAATCTGCACAAAAAGCATGGGAAGATGGGATTTCTCAGAGGAAGAGGCTGCGGGAGCTCAGGGGAAAAATGATCATAGAATCATAGAATGGTTTGGGTTGGAAGGGACCTTCAAGACCATCTAGTTCTAACCCCCCTGCCATGGGCAGGGACACCTTCCACTACACCAGGTTGCCCAAAGCCCCATCCAGCCTGGCCTTGAACACTGCCAGGGATGGGGCAGCCACAGCTTCTCTGGGCAACATGGTCCAGTGCCTCACCACCCTCAGAGGGAAGAATTTCTTCCTTAGATCCCATCGAAATCTCCCCTCTTTCAGTTCAAAGCCATTGCCCCTTGTCCTGTCACTACACGCCCCTGTCCAAAGCCCCTCTCCAGCTTTCCTGTAGCCCCTTTAGGTACTGGGAGGTGCTGGAAGGTCTCCCCGGAGCCTTCTCTTCTCCAGGCTGAACAGCCCCAACTCTCCCAGCCTGTCTCCATAGCAGAGGTGCTCCAGCCCTCGCATCATCTCCGTGGCCTCCTCTGGACCCGCTCCAGCAGCTCCATGTCCTTCTTGTGTTGGGGACCCCAGAGCTGAACACAGTATTCCAGGTGGGCTCTCAGGAGAGCAGAGCAGAGGGGCAGATGAAAGGCTGTGTCACAGTTGTGTGGGAACAGTGGGAACGCAGGATTCAAGATCCAACCCGACGCCACGGCAGTGCCCGACGGCCGCTGGCGCTGGAGTCCCGCTGCAGTCTCCAAACAGGGTGAACTGGTCCCGACTCCAAACAGCTGAAAGCAAAAAAACGGGAAAGAAAGGAGCAGGCGGAGCTGCCGGATCGCTCGGCACCGAACGCAAAAAGAAAGGGAACTTTTGGGGAACTGGAAGGAGCTGAGCAAGGAGCTGGTCACAGGAGGGTCCGAAACAGAACAGGGAAACTGGAGCGTAAAGGGATCCTAACGCGGGTTTGGGATGCAGTGGAATTCCTCTGCGCACAATTAGGCAAATCAAGCCTATTTAAGGACAATCACACTGAAGAGTTATTACCAATCCCTCTCCCTCTCTTTCTTTATGCAATTATCCTAATTATCCTAATTGCAGAAAGGGTGTGGAGCAACTATTTTGATAACTGGAGCTCTGTTTCTCGCTCTTTGTTTTTGGCACAAGTTTGCCCCTCACACAAACACCACCTTAAAACGATATTCAAAGTTTTGTGCCAAAGTGTTTTCCTGAGCAGAAGATTCAAATTTCTGTGTCAAAGCCTAAACCATGAAAACGACACCGAGGAAAATCAACATTTTCACCCCAAAACACCAGGTTCTCCCTCCCTCAGCCACAGATCTACGCCCAAATCTTCCACCGCTGTGCCGCCCCCGGCGTGGCGGTGCCCCTTACCAAGGTCATGCCACGGATTTAGTTCCACTTTTTTATTATTCAACTTTTTATACATAATAAATACAAACTTTTTACAGCCAATATAAAGAAAGCACTCGCAGCGATGCTTTCAGTGTACTGACGCTGTACACGATGATACGTCGAATACATGCCCTGTATGAAGAAATCATAGTTAAAAAGGAGGCAGATTTTTACAACTTTTCTTCTTTTTTTTTTTTTTCCTTTTTTTTTTTAAATAAAATTAGCAGCTCTTACAGAAAATATTTTAAAATACAACTAAAAGAGACTTTAAATAACACTTTCTGAATTTTGAAAGTCCAGGTATGAAGGACACAGAAAAACTGGCCAAAGAAATTGAACGTGAACGTTATGGCAACACTTGCTTTTCTTCTGCGTTGTGAAGCTTTCAAAATTTTTGCAAACAGTTAAATCTTTTTTAAAATTTTTTTTTTTTTTTAAACTTAAGAATAAGTTTGATAAACACATAAAAAGACCTCAAACAGATCAACAGGACGAGAGGTGCAAAAGAATGAAAAATATGGAAAAGACTTCATTGGACAGTCACTGATTTCATAACTGATCCACGAATTGTTTTCTTCCAACAGCCCCACTCTTGGTTAAAGATCCCACTGGGAAAGGAGATTGGCAAATCTCCACTGGGAAAGGAGATTGGCAAATACGAATGTCTCAGAGACCCAGCTTGGGTTGGGATTGACAAGTATGTGCAAAGTTTATGGTAAAACCTTGCTAGATGATTTTATTTCTATTTTTTTTTTTTTTGTAAATGCAGCCTCAAAAACTAGCCCTTGTTAGTAAATTAAAGGTAGAAAATTTACTGGCTTAGAAAAAAAAAAAAAAACGAAGACAGAAGAGCGCATTCAACAGAACCCATATAACAGCTCAACAAACCCAACCTTGTGATGCCTTTTAACTGAAGCTTTGATCGGATGGAGATTACTGAAAATAATTTAGTGAGTACACAAAGAAAAACCTCTTTTCATCCAGTTTTTCCCTTTCCTCTGACCCTTTCTCTCCATATTAAACCTCTGAATATCCTCTGCCCTTTTCTTTCCAACACCACCGACGAAAAAAAAAAGCTTCCTTGTCAATAGGTCTCCGATTGAAAATTAGTTTTGAAATTTCTTTTACTCTCCATTTGTTGCCCAAGAGTAATTTGAGACCGGAGTCTTGGCCGCGAAGGGAAACCGGAGCTCTTCCCGGCGCTCCGGCTTTGGCGGCTTCACGGGCTTCGCCGGGGAAAACGCTCCAGGACCATCCAAGGCAAAGAACTAAATAATGCACGTAAATACTCAAAATGCAACTTCTAACTCTAGCCAGATGTTTGGATGACAAAGATATACTGCTAACGTCGGATAATAAAGTACACGGCAATAACTGGGGTAAGAGTGACCCAAATACTTTAAAAAAAAAAAACCCCGAAAACCAAAATCCCCGAAAATCTGCTAAGAGGACCATCCAAGGCAAAGAACTAAATAATGCACGTAAATACTCAAAATGCAACTTCTAACTCTAGCCAGATGTTTGGATGACAAAGATATACTGCTAACGTCGGATAATAAAGTACACGGCAATAACTGGGGTAAGAGTGACCCAAATACTTTAAAAAAAAAAAACCCCGAAAACCAAAATCCCCGAAAATCTGCTAAGAAAAAAAAAAAAAAGAAGCTCAATTTCCAGATCTAGACAAAAATCTCACTTACTCTTCTACCAGTCGGTTTATGCTATGGAAGAAGATGTTGCTACTAATTCAGCACCTCCATCTCAGATACTCTAGTACTAAAGGTACTGCATAAATATTAACACAGAGAACATTTAGTTCCGTTTCACTGCTAATTATCGACGAGGTGTGCATTCAGGTCATTAACGCCATATGATCCGCAGCGCTTTTCCTTATCTGTAAGATTATTTTCCCGTTTCTTCCTTTCTGCAAGGGGATTAAAGAGGAGCCAGCCTCTCCTTAACGCTTCTTTTGCAGTTCCCTTTTTCATTCCACGAGATCTGATTAATCAGACGAGTAATGCTACTTGAAGAATTGATAATCTTTAACCCGTTCCCATGGCAACAGTAATATACTGTACTAATGCACGTGATCGAAGGATGCTGTGACTAAGTGAGGCTCTTTCCTCAGCCTCCACGTAAAAATTGACCATCTTCAGCCAAGAGAGACCCCTGCTCCGAGGCAATCCTCTGCTCGCTGTTTGGCCCGTCGTGGTTTGTGCTAAGAGAGGAAGAATGATGTCTGTAAATCAAAAAAACCCAAACAAACAAACAAAAAAAAAGGCACGAAATAGTCATGACTGCGGGAAGGAATCCACCACGTCGCTGCCACATCAAATCCTCCCTATCTCTTGCTCTATTCAAAGTCTTCATCATGCAAAGGTGCCTAAAAACGAGATTGACCAAATACCACGTGGTTGGTCTTGATTGTAGCACTACTACTGAGCTAGTCCAACCGTCACACCAGAGTAATTTCCACGTCCTCTATCTTCTCTGTCGTCCGGCGGTGATGCTGCGTAGGGGGCGGTGGAGCTGCTCGCACCTGAAACGGACAGAACCAGCCCGTGACCATCAGAAAACGGTCAACATTTCACAACTTCTGCAAACTAAACCAGCAACTTTCAGTTTATACCTCAAGATGATGCAAGTATACAGATTGTATATGAAGATCACAGGACCACAGTGAGTAACCAGCTGAATTTGGGTCCAGCAGTCTCCAATTCAGGCTCTGCATGAGAAACTGTCCCCACTCACAGGTGGCTTTTCTCCAGTAAGACCAGCAATCACGACAGGGTAAACACACCAAGGAAAGTAACCTATCTGTTCTGCCTGTGCCCATGGATAACCTGGTACACAAACCTGGGACGGGCTTTGGACTTTACACCAAATGACGAAATCTGACGACGCCCTTGCCTGGAATTTAGGTGGACTGGAAACTCCAAGAATGCCTCGTTGCATCTAAGCAGCTTACTCGTATTTAGAATCACAGAATGGTTTGGGTTGGAAGGGACCTCAAAGATCATCCAGTTCCAACCCCCCTGCCACGAGCAGGGACACCTTCCACTAGACCAGGTTGCCCAAAGCCCCATCCAACCTGGCCTTGAACACTGCCAGGGATGGGGCAGCCACAGCTTCTCTGGGCAACCTGTGCCAGTGCCTCACCACCCTCAGAGGGAAAAATTTCTTCCTTAGATCCCATCGAAATCTCCCCTCTTCCAGTTTAAAGCCATCGCCCCGTGTCCTGTCACTACATGCCCTTGTCCAAAGCCCCTCTCCAGCTTTCCTGTAGCCTGTTTAGGTACTGGGTTGCTGACCTGAACGATACACATCTGAAATCTGATGCTACTTTTTTACACTGCCACATCAATAAAGTTATTATGGCTCCTGATAGAGGTTACCTTAAGCCCTGACAGCATTTCACGCGGGGTTTCTATCCCATCAGAGTGTCTTGCCATGGAAAACACGAATTGTGGAGCAACACCAGAACCAGCTTCACAATATTTTCAAACCAGGCAGCTTTAAAATGCAATGCTAAGAGAAATCCTTTTAATTACAGCATGACGCTGCAGTAGTATCTTGAGAAGACAGTCAGTTGTAAGAAACTCATGAAGTAAATATCAATCTACCAAATGGAAAAGCTGAATCCGTGTCCTTTCACAAGGGAACAGGACAACGTACAACTCCGTTCAATACTGAAACACTTCACGCTGCAGTACTGTGTCTTGCAGGTGTCAATGAATAAGGCTCCCTCACCCACTATTGCAATATTCAGAATATATTTTGTGAATATCCAAAAATGCTCTTTTTTTTTGCAACCTTATTCATTGAGAACGCCAGGAAAACACCAGTGTTACACATTTGGTTTAGGACTTTGAAACCATCAAAACTTGATTTCAAAGTTAATCCTAGGAGATGGATTTTGGAAGTTCTAAGTGATTAAATTCCTTTCCTTTCCCGGCAAAATGTCTCTTTCTAGGCAGCAAAGACATCACAAAATATATAGACCTCATCTGTAAGAATTTTTAATCCAAAACCCTCAAATCAAGGGGTTTGGAAATAAATTTGATCCTAAATGCAATCAAGTCCCACGGGCTCCATATTACGTCAAAGTGCTGGCAAGGAGTTTGCTTCTTCCACACTGGAGAAGAAGCAATTGTGTAAATCATGTAATGAAACCGTTCTGGCATTTATTCACCACCTCTTTTTTCCCTCTGTTTATTACGTGTGGCAAGAACAGAAACAACCTCCCAGTGCCTGGAAAGGCGGCGTAAGTTTATCGACTACCATCTATTTTACTATCATCTTGGACGTAATTCCCTCCCAGGTCAGATTTCCTGATTCCTGTGCCTCACCCAGTGACATGCAGGTGTTACACCCATGAAGGCAGATACAGAAGGGCAGGCCAGGCGAAGGATAAGGGATGGGTAACGCTCAAGGTCCTCTTCAAACACGACCACTTACTGTTTAAACAAGCACAGCTTTGTTTTGTTCTGGTGTTCGCTTATAGAATCACAGAATGGTTTGGGTTGGAAGGGACCTCAAAGATCATCCAGTTCCAACCCCCCTGCCATGGGCAGGGACACCTTCCACTACACCAGGTTGCCCAAAGCCCCAACCAACCTGGCCTGGAACACTGCCAGGGATGGGGCAGCCACAGCTTCTCTGGGCAACCTGTGCCAGTGCCTCAGGACCCTCAGAGGGAAGAATTTCTTCCTTAGATCCCATTGAAATCTCCCCTCTTCCAGTTTAAAGCCATTGCCCCATGTCCTGTCACTACACACTCTTGTCCAAAGCCCCTCTCCAGCTTTCCTGTAGCCCCTTTAGGTACTGGAAGGTGCTGGAAGGTCTCCCCAGAGCCTTTTCTTCTCCAGGCTGAACAGCCCCAAGTCTCTCAGCCTGTCTCCAGAGCAGAGGTGCTCCAGCCCTCGCATCATCTCCGTGGCCTCCTCTGGCCCCGCTCCAGCAGCTCCAATAGCTCCAACAGCTCTCCTGTTCTGTAGCTTTTTGACACATCTATGGTGTTATCGAAGGGGAGGGAACAGACCTTTCCTCGCAGCACTCACCCGAGACACCACGTTTTTATACACAGCAACGGGATGTGCCGAGCACGGAGAGCCCGGCCATCGGGCGCTGGGATGCACCCATCCCGATTTACCCACACGTGGCCTTACAACTCTGTAGCCTTAATAAAAAGAACAGGATTTGGTTTTAACTTACGGGTCGCAGTTTGCCGTACGACGTATCGGGAGGAATTCGCGGAGGCTGTGAGAACCCAGGGGACTCTGCACTGAAGCTGTTTTCTGAAAAAGCAAGGAACATCCCACCACAAACAGCCACTCAGCGGTGCTGAATTAACTGCAGGTTGCAAAAAAAAGCTTCCCCCACCTCTGAGATGTGAATAACCTAAATTAAGCATTAAGCTGGGTCTCCTTAGCTTGGAGAAGAGGAGACTGAGGGGGACCTCAGGAATGTTTACAACTATGGAAAGGGCGACTGGCATGAGGATGGAGCCAGGCTCTTCTCAGTGGCATCCAATGACAGGACAAGGGG